TGTCGTATCACCTGAATGAAATTGTGCACAACTTACCTGGCTAAATGTGTGTGCTACTGTTTTCTTTCACAACCATACTTCTATGTAATTTGCATAAAAGTAAAATATACGAAGACCATTTTTCACTAAAGGAAATATATGTTGTGATGCCAAGGGTTATACATGTACTAATAGAATTAGCTTACTGCAGTTTCAATAAAAAAAATTCCTTTAACTGAATATGCATGGTTTTAAATTGTTACAAATGTAGTTGCAAATAATATGTTTCTTTTTAGATGCTCTGTGTACTTTTAAGAAGACAAAATTTTGTACTAGATTAATCTAAACTTTGGTTGTATGAAATATATGGAGATAATGAACAGTATTCAAGCTTGAAAGTCCATAAAACAATACAAAATAGGAGCAAAGCAAACACGAACCTCCAAAACATTAGAGGTGGGATCAGGTGCCATGGAGGAGTGAGCATCCCCTGCCAACCAAAACAATTCTCATTGCTGGAGGTTTGACACATGTTTGATTCCCAATTGTTACCTTGCAGGACTGACAAATTGTACTTATATATCTTCAATTGTGCATAGTAGGTTGACAAATTTATGTTCCTTTTTGCTGTGGAAAAAAAAAAGGGAAATCTTTTATTCATAGTACAATGATATTTAGTTGAAGCAGAAAAGGGGGAGGGGAAGGAACTTACTGTCTTTATTAGGGGGTAAATGTTAAGAGTTGCTGACATTTTGCAACAAGAAGGATTTATGCATGTTTTTCCACATTTAGAACTTGATAAAATATCTCCTTACTTGACACAAGATTACATCATGCCATAAATTGAAGTCAAGGATAAATGTAGAGCTAACGAGTTGTACTAAGGCATGTCATAGTACCATAAATCTCCTCCTGAAGAATTCCCTTTATATTTAACAAGGACACTGCATTCAAATTTATCACAGGTTGGTGTATTTTCTGTTCGCAGTTGACCTTTCGTGTCAGTTAATCTATCAAAAAGTATGTTTATATATGAAGTTGTCATAATGTGACACTATTTTAGGGCTTGTAAACCCTTGACATTGAGATACCCAATAATTATCTGATTTCACTCTCTGTTGGGGGGTGAGCCTTTCTTAATCTAACAGGACTCTGTGATTTAAGTCTTGTTTTGATATACTGTTGACACTACAGATTATCATTTAATGGGTTTCGCACCCTGTAAACCCAGCAATATACTGAGCTCTGTCTTGTCTTATTCCTCCTCTGCTTCCAAGCTTTCTTTTATGTATGTGGCAATATTTTTTCCGACAGGACTTGAGTTGAACTCTGACCTGTGTAAAGACCCCCAGTGACAAAGCAAGAATGGAGACTGAAGGGGTCTTCTCTGCGTTTATCATTTGTCAAAAGGCTATTTAGACAACTTGTGACACAAACAAATTATTAGGATCGCTAAAGCTTTAAAATATTCTGAATATTAAAAGTGTATTTACCTTTAATTTACCCAGTCTTTACTTTAAGGGTTTGCAAAGGTATCTTTGTGTTTAAATGGTAAACTGATCTATAGATAAAAAGTTTCATTTATGTTATGAATTATATACATGGTACATCAAATTCTCATAATTACAATAATGTGAATTTTCAGACTCTGTCAAATTAAGGTCACTTGGTGTTTTGGTTCGTAACTTGAGCACGTTTTGTACTTGTGTACCTCATATGCATTTGAGTGTAATGTTATGGTTTATTTTTATGCAGATCTTGTGTATTGGTACAGTGACTTATGTTGTAATGTTTTATTTCACTGTAGATCTCAAGGCAGTCCATTGATGCTGTAAAAGATCACTTCAGAGAAGAAATGACAAAACCGGACTGGCAACTTGTGGTGGAAATGAAGAAACTGTTCCAGATTTTATGAAAATCTAGCATTTTCAATTTTGCTTGGCCACCGTATGAAAAAAGTATACAGAAGATTGGAACCTTGTGGTCTAACCACGATTTCCAAATCACACTCAACAAGGAAACAAGAAGTCCAATATCAAACAGGACTCATTTACATAATTACAGTTTTAATCACCACATTGTTTATTTTTTTCTCTCTTCTTCTTTTTTTTAAGAAAAATGAAATTATCGAGTCAATTTCTGACAATAGGCTTTTGTAAAGCAGACTTCTGTTTTTTCCTGATTGTTATTTGGAATTTACATGCATGACTCTGATGGTAATTGAAGTACATTATAAATAAATAAATAAATTATTGTTGGAAATGGATGGAAAGATTTATTTATGTGTAATAAAATAAGATCTGAAAACTACATTTTCATTTTTTTTATACTATACATGTACTGTGTACAGCTTCTAAGGGGCAAAAGACTAAAAAGTACAAATGTAAGGATTATAAGAAATATGTATCATGACAGTTTATTAGATAAAAGCAATGGGAAAAAATAAAAAATAAAAAAATTGAAGCAATTTTCAGCAGAGGGAAAGTTGAGCTACAGACGAAGTATATTGCCCCCCCCCTTCAAACATTGCTTTTTAATTGAAAAATATATATACAGGTTTTGATATCATTAACATAATTAATTGAGACTCCTACAATAGCAAGTTGTAAACTATACTTAACAACAATCTTAGCTTGAATATTTTGCAGCATCTTGGGAATACATGTTGCAAAATATATGGTGTGTCAACTTACCCAAAAGAACCCCCAAAGGCCCAAAAGGAGTCAAAACGAAGGTAGTGAGCTAGCTTTTTAATGAACATTTTTATACTTAAATAAAAAATAAGGTTTAGAAAAAAGTGTAGGGAGAGTCCCTAGCTTCCCACATAACATATGCCTAGAATAAGTCATAGAATAAATCTTTTTGCTTCATTGCATAAACTACAATGTATTATAACATAAAATTCAATATCATAATTGATGTTATTTTTCAATATATCATATCATTTTGATTCCTTTTGAATATATCATATAATTTTGATTCCTTTTGGGTCCTTTTAGATAATTCCTTGTGGGTCTTTTGGGGTAAATTGATGCACCCCTAAATATAGAGCAATTAAAACAATGTATATGTAATTTATTATGAAGCAGTATGTTTATAAGAAAGTGAAAAAGAACCCTTATAACGTATCTCTAGGGCCTTCAAGCATGAGATTATAAAGGAAAGGTCACCAAAATACAGATTTCCTCTAAAACACTAAATAAAGGTGTAAGGCCCTTCAAAAAAGCCAAGGAAGTGATCCACATGTGCCTGTAAGGATAACATCTTTTAAAAACAATCTAGGCAATCTCTTGTTTTCCCATACTGGCCTATCTTGAGCCATCTGGTCATGCCAATGCAGTCATAGGAAGTTTTATAATAGTAAAGGAGGCGACCCCTCGACCGTTCAATAGAAAATATTAGTGTCGCTGAATGGTCAGTATTAAACATTGAAAGGGCAGAATGACAGGTGGGTTTGTAGGGACGGAAGGTCAGTCCGGCTGGCGTGGGAACGGAGCGTGGCATCATCTGGCTGAAGACGCTCTGTTTTGTCAGCGGAGCGCGTGCACACCTGTCCCCGGCTGCAATTGCAGACGACTTGCTCAAGCGATCACAGACGGCCATGCAGGTACAAAAACGGGATGGAAAATGAGAACGTTGTTGGGTTTCTTTTGTACTGTTTCCTTAGATTGAATTAAAGAAGAACCATAGAATCTGCATTGTAAAATACTTTTGGTATTTTTTTAAATTTAATCAGGTTCCATACCCATATACTGAGAACAGACTTAGGTCAATATTTTTTTAAGAAGAAAAATGATATTAAAAGTTTCAGTAAATGAATGAATTTAGATACATGTATTTATACAAAACTACCAAATGTTATGAACTTGTGTTAAATGAAACTCAAGATATTCACAATTTTGAATTCAATTTATGGTATAGAAGCAAGTACCGAAATTATTTTGGAAAAATATGATTTATTGGACATTAGGTATTTATAGACTTCATGTTACCAAATAGAGCTCTAAACATTGGATTAATAATAAAGATTGAAAGGTTGAATAGTACATTAATAATGATAGCAAAGAAATCAGAGAACTTGAGAAAAAGGAAGGAAAGAATGGAATACTTCTAAAGATGAAAACGAACAAAGGAATAACTTTAGATGGTACATGTTCTCGATTAAAAGGCATGCATGTATATATGAAGAAGAATAAACTATATTCGAGAATAGTGTCTAACTAATTTATGAATTATTGAAAATATATTATTTATGTTTTTATACATTTTGTATGTTTACTTTATCATTATATCTGTTAAAATATATGACTGTAAATATTGTCTATGAGATGTATGTCCTTTGTCTTCAATAAACTGGAACTGAATGTAATTTTTAAAATAATAAGTACATGTACTAACTTATATATTGGAATATACCTACAGTTTTCAGTGACTATAATTTACTTGCTGAAAAGGTTCTCTTAATTAAATCAAAATTAATGCTATTTACAAAATATACCCGGGGGTCCAATGTTTTAATCATTCGTAAAGCGGCAATTATTTTTATTTTAATAAATAGCGCACTCCATGTGCATTAACTGTCTCGTTTGGTAATCGTCAACTGATCAAGGTCCATTATTGTCTATACATCGTGATTTTAGTTGGAATGAAGAAAAAGACAGTGATTTATATCTTACTGAAACATACATTGTTGTAAATTTGGTCAGGTAAAACATCGTCCTTTTCTATATAAACAAATAATAACTGATATTTTCTTATCTCAGGGATAATTTAAAATGCGTCCACGTGAGGATATCTAGGTCACTCTAGTATTTTTGGCGGGCCCTTTTACCATGTTTACTACAACGCATATGTTGCATCTGAATTGAATTTTCCACAAACAAATCTATTTTAAAAATGTGCATATGACGATTATTTGCATAACATAATGGAAAAATAACTATGCTTCGCAGAAAATCTAGTCATTGGAGCGTTAAACTGTAATTTACGTCTTGCGAGCGATATATGAATGAATATAACTCTCATTGATATTTTGCATCCTGTTCCCCCCTATGAATGAAAATGAGCTAACCAGGCCGGAAGTCCACGGGATTGAGAAGGTCAGGGTGTCGAATTACACACAACCTATGCCATATACGGATTTTGAAGCCATAGGTAAAGTCAATTCAACGTATTTACCTGAAAGACAGTGCTCTAGATTTGATAATTACTTTCCATATCTATTAACGATAAGTGTCGTCGTTCTCTCTCGCTAATGAACGTTTTTTTCTGTTGGTAGATTCGCCTAAAGCACAGTTGTTTGGTTGGCCGCATAACTTTTTTTCGCCAAGGGAGTAAGTAGTATTTCAGCTGCACGCAGATAGCGGGCGCGATTTCTTCGTGAGGAATTATATCTTTTTTGCTGTGTGAACACGGGATGTGAATGTTTTCTTGGTTGAGGCGGGAGAGATGATGTGGTTTACGTCATTGTAATTTACTTGACATAATTTTATTGTCGTCTATCTTTCAGTATTTTGAGACTTGGATAAAATAACGAACTTGCTCTGTGGAATACTTTGAAGAGGTATGTTTTTAAACATTTTTTTCCTCTCATAAATGCACCTTTTTAAAAAAATATATTTATTGTATTTTATCTGTGAAATTCTTTGGGAGAAGTGACATACAAGGGGAAAAAGTTTGATTTCATAAGTGTTAGTTTCTAAATATTTTGGAAAGTTATTTATTTTTAACTCTTCGTTTCTGTTTTTGAAAATTTTTCAGTTCATTTCAGTTATAGAAAGCATTCATTTGGAGTTTGTGTTATTCCAAAAAAGTTTTTATTTATTTTTTGGTGAATAAGATTTTTTTTATTTTTAGAATACATGATTGAATATTCATTTGTGTCAAAGTATGACGCTTAAATGATATCATCGAGAGGCCAGCGACAAACCCTGCCACCTCCCGATGGCGATGGAGGTATAGTAACGCTGGACCAAGTGCGGCCTCATCCGCGTACTCAGAACGAGTATGTGGAGGGGCCAAAGTTTCCCCTTCGAGAAACATCACACCCCAGCCCCGGAGTCCCTATCTCCAATCGTGTAGCCTTGCCTCTGAGACAATCAGGGCTTCGCAGTTTAAATGAAACTCTTATTACAAGACAGCCTGTGTCCATTTCTCCACCGTTAAAAAAGGAGCCTATTGCAGAGGTTGACAATGACATTATTTGTGCAAAATGTGGAAAGTGTAAGTGTGGTTCTTGCACAGAACCTCAAAAACTGCCCCAGCGTTGGTGTTGCGGAGATAAATGTCAAGTGTCACCGGATTGTATTGTGGACACATGCACATGTTTCTGTTGTGTGAAGGCTGTGTTTTATCACTGTGGGAAGGACCAAGACGATGATGAGGACATGTGTTACATGCATCCGTGTGCAGGGTGCACCAAACCACAGTGCGTGAAAAGGTGGACATGCATGGCCCTGATGGCCTGTTGCCTGCCATGTCTTTGCTGTTACTGGCCAGCCCGAGGTGTTTTAAAAGCTTGCACCTCGTGCTACAACAAGTGTCGCAAGAAAGGTTGCCAGTGCACGACAAGGCAAGCAAAAAAAACTATTGAGAAAAACGGGTCACCTCTTACTAGAGGACTACTTATTGAATCCGATTCAAGTAGTGCGTAATTTGATGAGGGCAAAAAAAAAAACAAGCAACCTCTAATGTATTTGTTATTGTGTGATATGAGCCATTTTACCCTTTTGGGACTTTTGCTGTTATAATGTGCATATATGTCCCATTGTTATTTCAGAATGTATATTGTTGGATTTATTAATATTTTTGTAGATGTATTATGCATCTATGGAAAAAGTATTCGTCTCCATCTGTTTTTTGTTTTCGGAGTATTACCCAGTAAATGCCTTTTTTTTCAAGTGTTGTATGTGCCAATGTGAAATGGGGATTCTAGTGGGGGCATTCTATTCTGGATTTCTGCAGAATTAATTTTTGTCGACATAAAATATTGCCATCTCTTCTAGTGCTGGATTTACACTTGACTTTTAACCAAAATGGATAAATGTTGTGTTAGAAGCCTTGATATTGATTTTATTCTCTTCCTCTGCAAACTGGATTTATAATTCTGTGGAATAATTCTAACTGAGCTGGAACTGCCACCAGTAAAATGGATCTTATCATGGTATCGATTTTGGGCTTTTACTTTTGCATGACAGATTTCTTTCTTGCAGCTGAAATTATGTTTTTAAATAAACACTAAACTATAATTATCAATATGCATGTTGTTAAGTCTCTACAATTTCCTCTCTCTCTGTTTGTATGCACATTTTAGACTTGAACAAAGAAAACTGTTTTACCCATAATACATTGTGCATCTAGTTATTTGTTTCATCTCAACCAGTCGTGTTCATTTTCGTTACAGTACTCATTTTTTTTATTTATCAGCTGTTACTTTGTTACACTGCCATAAGATTTTCTCATGCTAAAATTGTTGAACAATGATTTTAATTATGTACCGATGTTAGATTTTAACAAAAATAACATCAGATTTCAAAAAGTGCTCATAGGCAGGCGAGTCAGGTTACTTTTACAATTTAGATCTTTGTTTTTACATGTGCTTCAATTTACCGTAAATTCCATGTTTTAATTATTTCTTAAGTGGGAAAAAAGATTGAGATAATATTTTTTATTTAGTTGAAACAGAAAATGCCAAGCCATTTTTTGTACATTGTATCAAATACATGTGCGGCGTATTTTATTTGTTGTACATTTTATAAATATCAAATCATTTTTGTTTCATAAATACAATCATGCATTCAAACTTCTGTGATTTTTCTAAACGTGTATTTCACATATAATTATACAAAACATCAAGCACTACATTTTTTTTCTCACTATTTTTTAACTGAGGAGGGCAATTTGGACGAGAGATGAGAAGAATTTGGTACATCAGTCTGTTTTCATTTGTTATAGATACATTGGTATTGTAAAGGTACACCTAGCTGTATCTTAATTTGAATTTAAATCTGTGTCAAATTTTTCTTACTAAAATTTTAATTTTTTTTCTGCTATCATTCAGTAAAACCAGCAGTGTTTTAATGTTTATGACAAACTTTTATATTGTTAATTGTGTTGATATGAAAAGAGAAGGTGTAAATTTGTGACGTACTTTTGGAACTTCTTTGCAAAATGCATCATTGTTATATAGTGAACAGCTTATAGTAACAGCGTTATGCGATCAAATTGTTGTATATACAATATAAAACATCCTTATGGAAATGAAATATTGTTTTATTTTCATTTGAAATTGGAACTTGCTTGAAATTGATGTAAAAATCACAGGAGTAGTACCCTGATAAAAATTTGGGAGGAGAAATCATGGCGATCAAAATATATTATGAGTAAATGTTGAAATTTAAAACAATTAAGGAGATGTATTTTTTAGTTGAATGACAAATCACCAAGTGGGTCTACAGATCTGATTTTTGCATGTATTTGCCTTTATGATGCGATAACTTTACATGATTATTTTAACATTTTTAATGATAATTACAATCTGTTTGGGAGGAAATCAAATAATGTGCCCATTTTTAAACCGGAGACGAGGATCAGGCTTAAAAATTAAGAAGGAAAGGGTTATTTTATTTATAAGAAACGTGGGATAGTCAGTTGTGACAAAGCTCTAGCAAGTGACTGCCAAATAATGTCATTTTCAGTTACTTAATTTCAGATGAATACACCCTCATTAATATATCATTTTAGTCATTCATTTTTCTTTTTCTATGCTGATTTTAAGCTTCTTAAAGTTTCACGAAATATACCGGACAGATATTGTATCAGTACTAAAAAAACTGTATAATTAATATACAAATAAGGTATTTTTAGTATTTTATCCACTGGTTCAAATAATTTTCATTAATTTTGAAATACCTTGGTATAAACATTTATCTATATAAAGATATGAGATACTCTGATCATGAGGTACTTTTATTTTTAATCCTCACAATAAGAATGGCTACCCAAAGCTAGATAAAAACCTGATAGTTTGTTATGGGGAAATGTGTTGTAGTCTTATTTTCTGTTCCTTTGTGTTGGCATCTGTTTTGGCAAATAATCCTGTATGGACCCAAGAAGAGGCTCAAGTAGGAAATCTTGTAACAGAGTAACTTGAAATGGGTCCAAATCAATGAATTTTCTCTTGGTTTCATAGCAGGACTAGTTCTTATTAATTTGGACCATAGTTGTAAAATTGTAGGTGGGAATTAATTTTCAATGAACGGGTAACGCTGCGCATTACTGTTTCATTCAGACCGACTAGGTCATTGCTCAAACCTTAAAGGACAGTTTTGGATCATATTAGCATGGTCAATGGGAGATTGTTTGCCCAAGAGCTCAAGTTAGACCAAGGTTTACATAATCTCTTAAACTCTTAAAATTCGGGGGATGAATCACAACACAGGAAATACTCAAATATTAAGCAAAATACCTATTTATTTTAATTTTTAAAAAACTTGTTTTCATTTTATTGAATTTTGCATCCTTCAATATAGAATTTCGGACAATCTCTAGCTATTAGCTATATTGCAAGTTTAATAATAATAATAATAATTTTGCCCCGTTTACATAATTATACACAATCTGTATTTTTTATCAGGATTATTCGTCATTAACTTTTAAGTTATTGATTTCATACCCAACTGTTGGTATTTTGTCAAAGTTGCTTTAAGGTAGAAGTTTTTCCCGATGTTTTTTGTAAAAATATTTTTTGTATTCTTTCTTAAATACTCCCATTTTAAACAACTTTTTACTGCGTGACGACCGAGCGAATTCCATCTCAGGGTTCTTATCTGTACATTCTGAAATCGCAACTTAATGGTATTCAATTTCAATAACGCCAAAATACTTTGAACCGATGCCAGTGAAAATAACTGTAATCTGTAGCGTTATATATGACATTTGTTTCTATAGTAACAGTAAAAATGTTTGGTTTACTTATATTATTGGCTATTTTACAGGAGAATATTCTTTTTGGATTTCCTTTATGACGGACATTCTCAATGAGAATAAATATTTAGTGTGTTCAGTACTGCCACGACCACGAGGAAGACGGGTTTTGTTTATTTTGGTTATCAGGTGTAGATATCCAAAGGAACCCTATTGCGGTTGTTTCCGACATGCACCTAAATTTCAAGTATTTTTTGGAGAGAACAATTTCAATATCACTGATAAGTAGCGTTTTATCTGGAACAGATCTGTTCCTTGAAGATTCGTTTAATTACACAAGCCTCTTGTAAATTCTTAATTAAAAAAGAGAATGAATGGTCCTCGTTAGGTTTGCCCTCCCTCTTTTGCATCAAGAGTATAGTTTCCACCAAAACAAAGGGTGCGTAGAATTTCATATCAGATCCAAAACAACGTCTCCTCTTTCCCAACCGGGCTAAAGCGCACAGTGTAAATACGAAAACTGGTTATTGCCAATATTTTTATTGGTATTAGAAAGTTTTTTATTGACTCCAGATGGATGGCCGACATCCTAGACGTCTTATAGTGTGTCCGCCCCTACAGAATCTTTATCATTCGGCGAGTTCTAGAGGAGAACTTTTCAAAAACATATTTTCCAGTAGCCATGGATTGAATACCGTGTTTGAATGCTGCTTATCTGTAACTTCAGGATTTTTCTTATTTTTGAAAAAAAAAGTTTACTTTCCTATATATAGTCTGAATTCTGTAAAAATGGGGGTATCGCATTGCAGCAGTCATTATAATTGCTTTCTTTATTTATGTATGCAAGTGAACAGTTCTTCAAAGTGAAGTGTTCCTAACATGTTATAAATGTTGAATTTACTAAATTGAGGTAAATGCAAAATTTACCACTGATAAGCAACTTATTTATCATGGTCATTATGTTTCTTTATCGGGAAACATTTTAATTATTTTTTTTTTCACATTTTTTTTAAACCCCTGAAATTCCTGGGTGCTTGAATTGTACTTATTATTTTTTTTTTTAAATTTAATTCAGAATAACTTGGCTTGCTAAACAACGAGGGATCAACTATAAGATCGGTCGCATTCACGCTTGATGTGAATGAATTAAAATATATACAATTTGTATATAGGTAAAAGCTATTTCCAGTGTAGATATCTTTACGGGTAAGCCTTATGTCGAAATAAATCAAACGAAATGACGAAGCAGTTTTAAAAGCACCTTCGGCTGACAGACGCATCGAAATTGAAAGAAAAGAGATATTGAATGCACTTAATACAAAGGCAACAGACATATTACAACTTTTCAAAAAAGGATATTTTTTTACATACACGTTTTAAAGGCAATTTTAAGCTTGGTATAGGATTATCAGTGATTGTTATACTTGAAGGAAGTTAGTTTTTGTCTTTGTGTAAAATAACAAAAAAGAAGAGAAAATTTTGAACATACAAAGATTGAGATATCGTAGGCCTCGTGGCCTGCGCGGATGATGAAATTTAGAACATTTTAAAACGCCTCTTTCAGCTAGGAGTGAATGGCCGGCTGCTATGTTGTTAAATATGGATTTCAACGAAGAAAATCGATGCGTACACTGCTTTTATATTCTAAATTGGCTTGTCTTTTTTTCTGGTGGCAACTGTGGTGGCATTATGTTCAATTTGAATTTCCCCCCCCCTTCGATTAAAATATCTTTAGAATGAATATAAACGATTTTCAGGAGCGGTGCTTTAAAAACTCTTGGAGGTTTGAAAATAACCATGGGATTTGAACGTTAAAAGAAATACACCCACACCCCATAACACAACCAGTACACCGCATAGTGCCAGTCTGCCTCGATCAATTCAAGGCGCACTAATGGCATTATTGGAAATATCTAACGTGCCAGCGCGTTGCCAAGGAGTTCTGTTTGAAAGTATCGGTTTTCCTGCCAAGTAACATTTTTCCTCTGGTCGACAGAAATATTGGCATGTGTGAGAGAGGCCGAGCATTGCTAGATGCTGCGCCTGAAGCCGGTTGTTGAATTTCTTCTTTAGAACAGGTGTTGGTAACAATAGGTTAGAAACAGTTGTGATACTTTCTGCAAATTCCCTTCGATTTATTCACAAAGACACAAAAGATCACGTTTTCACAAGTGAAAAGAAAATTATATATAAATATTTATCTGACAATTGGTGATTTTTATGACATTTCTAATGTTTTCACAGCACAATAAAACAAGTTATATCAAGAATCGTGCATCACATTCAATTGTTACTTTGTACTTTAGATAATTGAGTCAAAGAAGAGCTCAGCTTTTAATAAAGCTTCAAAATAGAGTTCAAGTTAAACTGTACTGAATTCAAGTTCGGATAAAGCCTTCAAACACTCCTAACCATTTTTACTATTTTTTCTTCATTGCACAAGAACCTGACTTGTTATGTAGATACGTTTGTATGTTTTATACATTCATTGAATACATAGAGAACTGATAATAAAATATGCCTAGCATCGTTTCAAGGCCAGATAACACCCTTTAGGACACTCTGTACACTGCGCACAAAAGAGGTTTGCATGGTATTTCTATACAGTTAGAGTGATCCGCCCTTAGATCTGAAATCAAACGAATATTGAGATCTGCAGCATAATTAAAGCATATTATACTCAATATGTTATCTATTGAATTCATTTTAAGAACAAGAGAAATTAAATTAACATCAGAATTTATTTTTTAAAATATTTGCCTGTTTTTTTTTTTTTTGTTTTTTTTTCTCATTTAAATAAGCAAGGCTGAACAGTTCAGCACTGCTGTGTATCAGGTTGGATTTGAAATAATGGCAGACCGGTTCTCTACGTTGAAAATGAAATAGATAGACTGTAGTATGATATATCAGTAATATTTTCAGTGTGCAAAAAAGCATTTTCCCTCAGCCAGTATATATAACGGATCCTTACTCATCACGTGGGCCATTCATACGAGATGTGCAGATCGACCCAAACGAAGATGGGGAAAAATAAGTGGTGAAATTTTGAACTATTTTTTCATCGATTTCTGTTCGTCGTAAAAATTTTGTAAAATTCGACAGATGAGAGGTGGCTATCTACAATAGCAAACTAGGAAGAACCAGTTATTCTACTAGAATATACTCATGCATGCATTTAGAAAAGCTATTTACATGTCCCCAGTCAGGTTCCCGAGACCCCTCATCGTCGGAACCCACGGGTTTTCTTTCCGTTACACTGCATTTAATGCAGTGAAACGTAGAGAAAACCCATGGGTTCGTTAATGCAGTGTAACGGAGAGAAAACCAGTGGGTTCTGACGATGGAGACCCCTCTGATTTTATAAAAGCTGGGGGGGGGGGTGTCTCGGGAACCCGACATACATGTCCCGCGATATGGGAAGACAGAGTAAAACCAAAACATTTTACATTTAAAAAAGAATCTATGCCTTGTCTGGATCAGAAGCAATATTAAAAGGAAATTCCTTTAAAAAGACATGACGTCAGACAATTCCGGAATAAAATTGGTTATCGTAGTTGGTTCCATGAATACTTTCCAGGCAGTGCTTCCTGTGTCGAAAAAGTGTAAGTCTCCCAGTCTTGGATAATAATTAAATTTTGACCAGCTTTTCCCAGCTTTTTCTCCCAACTCATTTCTGCACTTTTTAGTTTATAAATATTATAAATACTATACATGTTTTTTTAAAAGTTTAGATTAAGAAGATAAATTTTATTTTACATACAGACAGTTAGGGATGGGAAAAATTTCGTATCGCGATATATCACATTTTTTTCCACAATATCACGATTATATCAAGATATTTTTAAAAGCAGTTTTTACAATGATTTTGTATGATAAGTCATCATTTTTTCTAAAAAAATAAAAAATATGCTAGAAAAACAAAATTTTACTTTGTTGAAATTTTTATGTATATAAAATCAATTATGTTTGGACGGTAAGATGCCGTTCTTTTCACTACATTTTTTAATACTTTCTGTAAATGTAATTTGAAAGATTGAACAAATAAATGAATAATTTCTGGACTTATAATATGTACCTAAAGACCGGTATTTTGGTCTCCGTATCACGATACGTATCACGCAACAAAAAATCGCGATATACCGGTATACCGATTAAATCGCACATCCCTACAGACAGTACACTAGAGCTAATTTGCCTATTAAAGTTTCATGTTTTAACATTACATATTATATTTCCTTTCTGGTTTTCTGAATCAGTCATCGATAGACCTCAGACACCTTTTTGTACAAATGAAGATGACCTCCTTTTATAAATAAATACGTTTTCCTAAAGACACCTTTACTTATTGACCTGTAATTGTTAAGTATCATATACTATCGTTTGATTAATTGAAGGGTATTTATCTTTCGAATCGTGCGGCATGCAAATTTCTTTTTAAATATGAACTTTGTTAAATGTATACTTTTGATTGAAGTGTAATTTTACAAGGAAGAGATAACATTTCTTAGTTGGTAGGCTACTGAGGGGGGCCATAGGAATCTCCCCATCCATTAACTGGCTTATTCAGCAAAATATGTCACCAAGTATGCATTGTTTGTTGTGACCTAGATTAACCAAGTATAATTTGTCTTGCTTATAAATCTCTGTAACAAAGTGATTGTGTGTGGTAAATAAATAGATAAGTGGCAATATTAGAATCGGGGAAAACACTTAATTCACACTTCGGTCCTTTAAAGATAGATGATAATTAGTTTTTTTTGCACCTTCATGTACTTGAATTTTGTGGTTGTAAGCAACCTGATTTTATGACCTGTCATACAAACTTTACAGTCAAATGACAATCAGACATGTGGTTTAGTATATCCAGGCATATCAAACATTCATACTTGATCTACTTTAGATGCTACTTGCATTGGAAAATACAAGCATACTTGAGAGCAGAGAGTGCAAGAATGACATGCACTGGTAAGAAAATTACTCACTTCTTCCTAATGTTCACTTCATTTTTGCATTTATTATGTTTAAAAGTGAAAAAAAAAATTGCCATGAATGAGGAGGGTTTGGAGATTTGTATTGTAGAAATGTTTTATCTGATTCTGCATTTAGAGGTTCAAGTAAATACAATGACATTTTGTTTTTTTGTTTTTTTTGGGGGGGGGGCACAGGAGGGTAATAAATATTAAAATCACACTTTTAATGTACAACTTATCCCTCATAGTAAACTGTCACACTTTTAATGTACAACTTATCCCCCATAGTAAACTTTCATTAATAGTTACGTTCATTGATCTCGGAAACTGATAACATATTTAGACCCATATTTTAAAACCATTAAATAAGATTAACTGGGAAAGAAAGCAAAAGCAAATAACAGAAAATTATTGCAGTTGAAGATTTTCAGGAATTTGAGTTAAGAGGTAAGGAAAGGTAAGATTTTTATCTATTGTGACAACCTGTCAAGCTAATCTTTACTTATTAAGCTCAGGGAATTAGTAGAGATTATCTTATAACATGCTTGTCTCTTCTTGTTTCTAAATACATTGTTTTGGAAATATTATCTAAATTTAGCATTTTATGGCTTAGTCAGTGAATTTGTGGGGGTGATTATTGAAGATGAAATGCAATATGCATATTTTTTTTTTTAAAATTGTCCGCAGTCTCAGAAGAGCAGAGAACACGCTAAGTTATATTTATAAAATTCAAATCCATTACAGGGTATAATTATTTGCAAGTCTTACATCAGTGTAATATGGAACGTAGTAAAATCTTAAATTCACAATTTAAATTTTCAAAAAGCTAAAATCATAAATTTTATTTGTAATACATGCACCACAGGTAAAGGTCCAGGAAAAAAGTTACACTGGCCTAATTTTGTGACAGGTTAACCCGTTATTATTAACTTATATTATATAACTTTGTGAAATCCGGTAATCTGATTGGTCAATACGAAGTACTTATTTTTTAATATCGACCGCTGAAAGCGAATAATGACTCGCACGAGCTGCCTCGTTTTCACTTTCGTTTTAGACAAACATGGAAGTTCGCAAGTTGTAGGTGAGGAAAATTTAAAACATATTGTGAAGAACTCTGAGACTGATAATACAAACCAATTACTAGGATATTTGTGAATATTTTTCGGGAATAATTAGCAAATACCATTTCATGGTTGAGTTCGACCTTTCCACTCAGCCAGCAGAGTTTTGACGCTGTTTACCCGATTACGGAGACTAAAGAAAATATAGACAAGCATACCATGTAAGATTGTATCTTTTCTTAGAAGACAAAGGTATTTATATTTTGTCAGTGCATTTCGTCTGCAAGTGTAAATGAGAGCGATTCTCAATCTGGGGGAGGGGGTACTCTGTGTTATTCGGAGATAGATATCTTGCGTCATTATTATGATATGGGAAAGCCAAAACAATTTCCTCTGAGTAATATTCAATGAATTCTGAAACATTTACATTCAACTTATTTATGGATAATACTATCACTGTAAATAATAGGATGATATACATTGCACTAATAAATTTGGGAAATTATTATTTATATAATATAATGAATATTGGAGTCTCAGAAGAGCAGAGAACACGCTAAGTTATATTTATAAAATTCAAATCCATTACAGATATTTTGACCTCAGATACATGGAGTATATCGACCTCTTAAATTCCTTTAAATTTTCATATACTACATGTATCTTCGGTCAATATCTGTCATCCTGGGTCATTATAAATGCATATTGACCTACATTGAGTCCATATTTGTATAGTAAAACTTGAGTAAAAGTCATAGATTAACCTCTTACAAATTCAACTAAATCTCTGACAAGTTAACCTTCACTTAATTGACAGGTTAACTCTCTTGTAAACTTAAGTCATGGCAGGTTAAACTCGACTTTAAGCCATAAAACTCCTAGTTATAACCATAGTTCAAGCTCCATGATAGGATAACTTCTAGTTAAAACCATATGTAAACTTCTTTTAATGATAAACTATAGTTAAATCTTAACCTAAAACCAGATACATTAACCAAACCACAGTTCCACTTACAGCCACAACAGGTTAACTTTTATTTAAATCATAAAAGCTTCATCTTTCATTAACCTTCAAAAAGTAACCTATCTTACTTAAAATTTAATTTATTGTTAAAACTCCATAATAATAGTCCTGGAAAATATCTGTGACAGACAACCCCTCTTAACCGCTAGGTTATATAAATCTTGTTACATGAAAATATTTGTCCAAATGCAAACAAAGTGATCATGGAACTTGATTTTTTGACCACTTTATAATCTCTAAAAGTGAAAAATTTAGGCACAAATAATTGCATGTACATGTATTATACGATGTGTTTTTATTGTGTTATATTACATAAAATATATTCCTGATGGTAACGAAGTAAATACTGGTTGATTGATGAACCAAAAATACTGATATCATATATGAAATTCTGTTGATGTGATAAAGCTGTTAATATTAGGTTAATGGATTCTTATGCAAGATTTTTTTTTGTAATTCCACTGCAACTTATGAATGATAGGTACGATTTACATTTGGGTATGAGCAAGATGACTGTTTACCATCAGACATCTAAATTATCTCAATCACTTGTCTAGAAAATTTCAGAAAACTATATTTTTATGATGATTTATTGATTTAAATGAGAGGAAATTAATAAATTGCAAGCATGGATTCTTTCACCAAAAATCATTAGTTTGTTATCATGTTGATTGACATATATGTGTGTGAAATGAATAAATTTGAATGAATTTAAAATCAATTATTATAAGTAATTGAAAAGAATTTTGCAGAAATTTCACCAATTACTTGTTGAGGCTTCCATGGACACAGATAATCATGAACGGACTTCAAACAAAATTGATTTTTAAAGTCGGAGCACTCCTTGTTTTATAATTGGGAGTGAGCCTGTTAGTGTTAATATAGTTATATCCCAGCTAGTACAGGGTGATCTAAATACAGAAAAATACCCAAACTATTCTGTGACATCTATGTTAATCTAATTTGTTCTGCGCTGACAAGACCAAACTTCTGTGAGCACAGTTCATTTATCGGAACAAAAGGCGTGGGTGTTCTATTTTCCGTCAATGGGTCCCCTGTGGTTACCAGCCTATGTGTCAACCATGTGACTTAGGTGACAAGATCAATATAATACCTCTCCTTCCTCATTCATTTGAGTAAGCTCTATAATAATTCAAAGCAACAGAAATTAGAGATAGTCATAACTATAGTACATGTACATGTAGTTATCTAGACAAGAAAATACTCAAAATATTCAAATCCTAGAGTAATGTATCAATACACAGCAGGGATTCATTCACACAGGAAAAAGTTAAAAAAGACCATTTTATATTCATGAGTAAGAAAATATTATGGCTGCACAAAAAAAGGAATATATTTGGTTTCAACCTTTGAAGAATATGTAGCTCAGTCAGATAAATAAATAAATATGAAATCCTACTACTGATTTATGAAATTGCAAATATTTAATGCTTGTTTTATTAGAGATCAAGTTGAAGATTAAAAGAAATCCACACTGAAAAATAATCCTGGAATATAAGGTATATACATGTAGTTGATTAATCCTTCCTGTGTCTTATACAATGTATAAGGGAATTGCTTTTGGGGTTGCCTTTTTGAAGTTCTTAAAAAGATAAGTTCAGCTGTATATGTATCTGGAAATTCTTCACTTGATAAAAAAATTCAAAATGTCTGCTAGTGTTGATACAGATCTGATGCCATCAATTCTGTCAATGTCACAGGGTTTGGCATTAGTGCAGATAGAAGATCCATTATTTTGACTAGGGATGGTGGATACATTGCTATTATGTTATGTAGCAGCAATCTACAAAGTAAAAAATCAATGCCTGCTTTGATAAAATATTTTGTACTATTGATTAAAAAAAAGAAATCAGGTGAAACTAGGAGTGGATTTAGTGTACTGATGTAAAGGTACTGATGTAAAGAGTACAAATACTACTGTATATATTTCTGTTTATACATTGAATGAAAAGTTTATTGACTTGTTACATGTTTCATCCTCTAAAATTGAACTGACTTTTAGGAGTACGTGTACTCTGCTTTTGTTTCTTTCAATTTTGAAACCAATGTCAGTCTCTGTCAGCTTTAGGTAAACTGGACTATTACAGTGCAGTTTCATGGTTTATATATTGATGAAGAACCATACAAGCCCTAATAGATATTGTCTGATCAACCCAATTTGACAATCCTTTGAAAACCATGTGACATTGGAATAGAAGGCCCCAGGGCTACCACACTCACCTGAATCACTTCCCTGTCACCTACACTGAACAAATGTAAAAAAAAAAAGATAGCAACTAACAGGATGTCTTTCTTGACATTATTAATTAAGTGATGACCATGCTACTTTGATATCATGAAATAAGTCTTTATCGAATAAGGCCATAGTATTTAGTGAAAAAAATTTTTCCCATTGTTATGGGAAAATTCCCATGGCTTAATTTTAGCTGAAAATATAAGCTCAATCTTTAAAATAAAAACATTTGACTGTTTCTAGATGATATATGCTCTTGAAGACGAATATGCCATCCTTGAATTTCAATTTAATATACTTGGTAGAGCTAGATCTATTTTATATCTGTTTTGATAAACAAAATTATGGTTGTGAACATACATTTACAATTTAATACACTAAATTTTACAAAATGTTAATTTGTAATTTCATTCAGGAACAATACTGGAATGTCGCACCAAATTCATTGGAGAGGGCTGATACTTTACCAGACATTCAGACAGCCAACAAATGAGCCAATTATAACCAAAACAGGCAAGCTAAAAAGTGAGAAATGCTATTTCTAAAGTACAAGAACACTTAGACTATGTCCAGACAGGTTAATGACCAGAGCAGTTTGGGTCTCTGTTTGGGAAGACTGACAGCTGATAATTTTATAGCAATAAGGGAATGAGTGATAATAAGACAGGCTCCTAAAGAGTTATTAATTTTCTGATGAACCTTCAGAATGCTTTCAGTTTCCAAGTAATTACTCATATGGAAAGAAACAAGGAATGAGTTGTGAGAGGGGGGGGGGGGGGGGTTCTGGTCGCAATCATACACTCAACCCACTAACCTATATTGCAAAGTGGTTTCTTTTTGTCAACAATGTTGAAAGAGGAAAAAATCAATGTTTTTGTTCAAATGGCTCGCTTAAGGAGAGAAAAGTCATATCTTGTTCAATCTTGCGGTTTACCAAAAGGCTTTAAAATGCTTAAATTACAGTAGCTTTTCTTTCTTTTTATTGTATTTCAAAATAAAACAGAGTTGTAAATGATTTTCCAATGACATCCGATACTTGACAGTGCATTTATTTTATTTTCTTAATCATTTTGTAGGTGAACAATCGTGAAAGCGGAGAAAATGACTTGGATGACTTTTCATTCGCAGCTTTTTTACATCCTGTGAAAATATGCAGATAATCTTTCATTTCAATCAATCTTGTTATTTCTTCATCAGTCAAAAGAAAGAAAAGAGCAAAGCATAGAAAACACATAAATCAGATAACCAAGTATTTGGAGAGAAATGAAATATGAATTTTTATTCCACACTGATTACTTTCATATTACAGGAGTTAAAGGAATTTAAGATTAATGAAATGCAGCGAATTGAAACACTAGAAGCTAGATAAGAACAATTTTTTAAAAGAAAAAAAAAAGAATTTCCTAACTGTCTCGGATTTTCCCTAGCCGCTGACACTAAGATGCAACTAATCCTTCAGCGTGGCTCCTTATCAAAATATGAAGTGTACGATGATGATAGATCAAACGGTCTCCATTGAGAAGAATACCACTAAGTTCATAGAGGGATACCCACGGCCGCTGTCTGCCAGACTGGCCTTTGTCCCAGGTCAGGCGACTTTAAAGGCACACATGACTTCAGAGTTACATATTAAAGATTTTATATTCATTAGAATTATCAAGGTTCAAGTTTCAAGACTATTTTGTCATTTTCCAGACTCTTGGGTCCAACAAATTCTTTTTTGTATGCATTTTCACAGAGAGAGGTGAAGGGTTTATCAGAAATGACATATGTTTTGTAGAAGGATGCATTGTACATCGAAATATACATATCTGATGAGGAAACAGAAATTGATAGTGTTGATATTATATCAACTGCCTTTTATTTAAAAAAAAATCAAATACAAAGCAAAGAATAAGCACAGCCTGTGTGCTAGATAAAACTTGTGATTTGTGTAACAAAGTTTAAGGTGTTGACGGAAATGAATATGAAATTCTATAGGAAAATAGATTTCATCTCTGATATTTAACTCAGCCACACATAAAGAAGAATAACTGAAGTCCTTGTGAAACCTGCAAAGTCTTTGCTCTGCAAGTCTGGGCTAAAAAATAAACATGTTCATGTGAAAATTTTTTGAAATTTCTCTATCTTATGCAAAATTGAACCTTAGTTTATATACAGTCTCATCCAAAAGAATGGAACTGTAGCATGATTAAGATAAAATTATTTGACAGAATAACCTATTTTTAGTATCAACAAGACCACCTTTCATTGATATGGAGAATCTTTTTCGTGTTTAGGAAAATCATTTTAAAAATTTGTTTCCAGGCTGATTATATGTTATGAAACCTTGTTAATTGATAAACTCCTTTAGTCTTCTTTCTTCAACAAAATCAATATTAAAGGTATAAAATACTTTACAACATTTAAAGGAAATGTCATTATGTGCTATATAAAGAAATTCAAGAATATTTTAATCCTCGCAATTTTGATTATCACTGATGGTATAAATATTTTTTGTTCTTTTTTTATATTTATTTTTTAAGATTTTAAGTGATTGCATGCGGTACAAATTCTTCTTGTCTAGTAGTTTTGTGTTGGATTGTTATAGTTAGTGCATAAAGAAAAGAGGTTATATATTTCTGTCTATAATTGCCTGTACCTCTTAAATGATTGTGCATGTACCAATGCAGAAATATTCACAGGAAGACAAAAAGAAAAAGATTTTTTTTTGCTTCCCTCTGTAGTTTTCAAGCAGGTCAATACTCTGTAAGCCAAGCTTTTGTTCTTAAAACTCCTTGGATCTACAATGAATTATTTTAAGTACTCAAAACACCATCTGCCTCAATTATGTTATGATATTTTAAAAAGCTTTTCTTGGAATGCACGCTTGTCAGTATTGATCGTAAGCATCAAGTGCATCAACACAGACATGTAGAATCAGCCTCATTATATCATTGTTAAATGATGCTATCTGACACTACAACATTTAATGCAGATCCAGCCTTCATCAGCCTAATGCACAGAACTGTGTGGCAGCCGAGTTCAGACTAAAATTTACATGCCTCTAAATGCTTTGTGCAGGAAATATATCATTATATGACTGGTAGAGAGTGTGGGTGGGGTGGGGGATTCATGAACTAAAAGGAGGTCAGGCTGCTTGATATTGCTATAAAAAATGTTTATCATAATTAAGGACATGTATGTTTATGAACTATTATGCCAGTGTAAAATCTTCATAATTTGGTAATATCAAAATACACATGAAGGTGATAGGTTGTATGTGCATTAAAAATATTATCTAGATATTTAAATGCTAATATTGCCCTGCACAGAATCACACCAATCTCAAATAAAATGGACTTTAATTTTAAAAAAAAGCTGACCACCATCAGAACATCCTGAATTACAAGTTGACAAGATGGCTGCAGCAGATAATAGGGTACCGTACATCACCAACAGTACATGATTGTCACTGATATCTCATGTTGGTGACAGCGTGACAATTTTCATCAGATTGTAACGCTGGTATGTGTTGGTGGTAAGGTGAAGAGAATAAGAGATCTTATTGATTGCTTATCCATTAATCTGATTGTTTAATCTACTAAATATATCTAAATGTTGTTTGTAAATTGAGTGTTACATTATAGGTTGATTAAACTTAACTACAGGAAATAGAAGCAGCCATATTGAATTCAAATCTGCAACCTTTGGAAACTACAACATACATCTCTATATTGATGTCCTTATGTTCCCCCAAAATAATTAAATCATCAGGACAAATGTTTTTGTTCAAGAAAATTTTTTTTCTCTCCCTAGATGTCTTGGTTCAATGAGGGTATTCTTGCCCCCAGGAAGTTGAGCAGTCATCAATGTTTAGAAAGGTTTCATTCCTAAGACTCAAGACAGACATTTTACTGGAAATGCTTTACAATCTCAGAGGTGAGGACTGCAATTATTTTAAATGATATTCAAAATACACTTTTGTTGAAAAAAATAATTCTGTGCACAAGTTTAAAGCTCCTTTTCATTCATTTAAAGCCAATTGCAAAGAAAAATGGCAAAGTCAATTTTATGTCTTTTTTTCTCTTTCAGTGTCATCAAATTAAGTATGATTTCAATGGATGGAAACCCAACAATTTTACACACAATTACTTTGTGCAACAGGTGTGCGACAGGGATTGAAGACGAACGAGGACTTTTTCACATGACACTTGCTCAGCTTTACCGTAGGTTGATGTTCATTTTTCAGAACGAACCACTTAGTCTTCTGTTCTGTCCTAATTGCGGTCACCAAATTGCATGCAATTGCCTTTTTGATGCAAAGCCTTCAAAGTAGAAGCGATCATAGGTCAAACAATATAGAGTAATCGCAAGGCTTGATATTTGTCTGTATGCATTTATTCCTTTTCGGAAAATTCCCTGGGACAAAAGAGCTTTTTAATGGAGACAACTACATTGTAACCCCACCTAAGTAATAATGTAAAGTAATTAAAATTTACCTGCCCCCTAGAAGGACAGGCCCTAATTAACTAGTTATACTTATGTCATGGAAAGTATTCAAACTGGTAATAAATAACCTCACATGAGGTCCAAAATTACTAAAGTAAATAAAGTTTTATAACACCAGAATTCAGTACAAAAAGGGCCTCTCCAGTGCATTACAATTTATTTTGCATTAGAAATTACTACTCAGAGACTCATCTAGCTTAGATAAAAATTCACTTGCAGAATCTCTTATCAAGTAGATGTATGTATTTTGATCTTTGGGAAAGACAGGGGTCAGAATAATAGTTGTGTGTTGATTTTCAAACCAAACTGTTGTAACAGTTTTCAAATTGCAAGACAGCAGTGTTGAAACTAGGATATTCAAGCTCTTGTCTCACTGAATTTGTTTTTTCTTAAATATATCCAAATATTTTTTCATTTATATCAAGAAGGCATTTGAAAATGTAAAAACTACATTGTATTGCAAATACTGTACATGTACTGTTATGAACCATTTCAATATGGCTGTACTTATATCATGTGAACCACCGGTTTGTTGCTATACTCTTGTTGGGAACAGGCTATACCGTATATTAAGTGGAAATTTTAGCGATTTGTCCTTAAAAATGGGTAATTCGTTTTTAGGGAGATGTAATTTTAGCGATTTTAAAAAGCTCACTAAAGAAGCTATTTCAAATAAAGTGCAATTAATTTTTAGCGATATTATATTTTAGCGATCTTGGTACCCTCGCTAATAATGCCAAAATTAAATCCTCGCTATAAATTCTGCTTATACGGTATGTTGTCATGTTTGTGATCTGAACCATACTCATTAGAACCAATTGCAATGTTGCAGAACACATTGATAAAGTAGGTATATTCATATGAATAACTTTTATTCATGTCAAAGTCTGTATTAGTGTGTAAAACTTAGGCCCAGTAGTGGAAAAAGATCTTATATCCTCTATTGAAAGTATGATATTTACATACATGTACTAGTATTATTAGTTACATAGTCTTATAGTGACAGGGTATGTGCCTGGTTAGTAAATTTCATACCTGGCGAGGCGGAGCATGTTTGAAATTTACGTCATGTTTGTGTTTGTGTTGTGTTTTATCTGTGTTTATAAATGGTTGTTTTCTCTTCTAAATGCTTCATCACGCTTATACTGTGCCTATTATGACGTCATGTTTGTGTTTGTGACGTAATACATCAACTGGGTATAGATTTACAACTGACCGGGTATAAGTAATCCACTGCCTTCATGTGACAGACTTCAACCAATCGTAAGCCAGGATTTCACGAAAAAATAGACAGAGGTGGGGTAAGAAGTTTTCTCTGCATTTCTTGTCTTGACTGAAAAACCATAAATACATGTAATTAAATCTTGGTGGCTTTTCATGGAAAGATACTCTGACCACTTTTGCCAAGCCCATCTCATTTTGTCTGCATGCTCGATAAAACAACAATTTTGATGATGTTATAAAAAGGGTATACATGTATTGTACTCAATCAGTGAAAGTTCAATTCCTTCCATAGGGAAAATAAAAAGTCGGGCAGCAAGGAAGTCGGGAGTAATTTAGCTAATGAATGGAGGTGTTCAGTGTCTCTCAAAAGGAGTTTGTTCAAGTTCTCTGCATTCATGAACTGGTCATAACTGTATCATTGCACTATATACAATGGGTGACTGGGTATTAAAGTCTGAATTTTGGTTAATTTTGTTTGATAAATTGTAGGCATTCATATTTATACAATTGTTTGTCTGCTTGGTAACTCTGTACTTTTATGTAAATTAAATCTTGAAATCAAATACTTGAGATGATATAATTTTTCTGCCAAATATATCATCTCAAGTTCATGAATAAATCATTTGGAAAGTAAGTCATTTTTTTTTTTGGAAACAATTATTTCTACACAATAGGTCTTTAACATGTTTATTTATCAGGAGGTTTTTTAATCGAAAGAATAGAGATAGAGATGAAAACTGATAAGTGAGTTCTTTTTAAAAAGTAAGCCAATTCATTTAACTGCAACTTAAACAAAAAGTACACCTTGAAATACTTATCACATGTCAAGTACTAATTAAGAGTCAAAATGTACACTGTTTCATTGGCTTTCAACATAGGTTAAAGAACACACATAGCATTTTCTTTCATACCAAGTTTTCTAGTCAATAAGAGTATTTGCTAACAGAATGTCACAGATGGCATTTTGTCAGACCTGTAGATGAAGGCAGCCACCCACATATTTATCAATACCCCAGGGTATTGGTTGCTATAGATCAGCGTATCATTTCACAACCGTCAAGGACTTCATCAAAACCCCAAAAATTACACGCATCTTTTATTTTGTATGACTGGTAAAAGATTTTTTCTTCAAGTTTTTTTATCAGCAGGCTAAAGATATGGAAATAAAAATTATGGCTACTTGACTTAGATCTAGAGCTTGATAATTTGATCTAAATTTTGCAAATATTTGGATATGCTTTTTCTATAACTAATTTTTCTTGTGTGATTGGATTTAGTTCAAGTTGGAAATCAGCAGGGGGTTGTATAAACAGTGAAGCAATACCAGGACTCGGGCAGACTGGTAATGTGAGGAATGTCTAAAGCCTTAACAGATACTTAAAACATTAAAGCAGTGGCTCCCTCTTTGTGAATTTCCATCCTTATTGTAGTTTAGGATTGTCCATTTTCACAACCCTGGGTATTTTGGGTTAGAGTTACTCAAGTTGATTTTTTATTTTATTTTATTATATTTTTTTTTTGAAGGGATATGTAAGTATAAGATGTAAATTAAAACTGGAATCCCATGGATTTTGGTGTGTTTTCTTGTATTAAAAAAAAAAAAAAAAAGTGAAATTTCAACAATTCCAGACAGGGATTAGCATTGCTGCTTTTAACCACATCCTGTCTTTGAAATACCTTCTAATATGATCAAAGGTGAATTAAGGTCAAATCAAAGGAAAACACAGAAGGGAAAAACTTTCATTAAAGTTCTAAAGACTGAAGAATTGTAAAGGGTCATAGAGGACTTGAAGGGCACATGGTGTCTAAATGACCTAGGTAGTAACTTCAGTGGAACTCTTTCATGTGGAGGCATAAAAGGAGACTTTTCTGTTTACATTCTTTATTAAATGGTTACCTGCTATGCATCAACTACCTTAAAATCTATTTAAAAACAAATTAGTGTTTATTTCTTCTGCCTCATTATATTGTAACTTAATGAAATCTTGTATGAAATAGCTTTCTAAATAAATTAAAATGTATGGAAAATTTAGTGGATGCAATAAAATATCCCTGCAATGTGTTTGTATGTAATCTTTTAGGGTAGTCATAATTCAATCAGCGTGATATATCTCGGGTTCAAACAGTTCATCATGAATTTTTGAATTTAAAATTCAAATTGGGGTAAATGCACTCTATTTCCATTATGGTAAATACATACTAATATCAAATTAATATAGGGGGAAATTGTTCCTTGCCTTTCTATGGTATCATATAATGCTGTATGTTAAATAACTGCTCTAACTGTAAGTTCACAGAGTCAAGTTCCAGTTATATTACCGGTACATGTGTATTTCAAACTAACAGTGAAAAAAAACCACATAAGTACTAAACTGTACTAATTTCCTCAACACAGTATGTACATGTTTCACTAAAGTCAAATATAAAAAAAATCTCAATCAATATCAGTAAATTGATTAATTATGAAATTTATGGGTTGATTTAAAAAATCATTAATTGCACTTCGTACTCCCCACCCACCCACTCCTATCCCCAATACAATATGTTTAGTGTATTTCAATATAGATATCAGATAAAATAGAACAGATGGGGTAACAACACTGTGGGTAGGGTCAGATTTCCTGTCATTTTAAAGTCAGTGACCTTCTAACAATGTGGAAGAAACAGAATTAAGTCTGCTCAGCAAATTGTTGATCCAAATGGGTCAGAGCCCGACAGCTTACAATTGAGAATCATTTGTTTCCCTTGATTTTGGTGTGTACATAGGCATAAAATGCCCATGAAATTCAATATTTACTTGACTGTTTATCTCACTTTCAATTATTGAATGATAATTATAGAGTGCAGAATAAAGGCCTTAATCCGGAGAAAATCGCTACATGGGGTGTTTAAATTGGTGGTCCTCTCTTTTTGTGTGTGTGTGCAGAGAGTAAAAAAGATCTAATGAAAGACAGGAATTTTTTTTATTGTGGACATGAATCAATGAATAACACACCTTTTTTTACTGCTTTTACCTTACGTTGATTGGCCGAGGGGATTACATTGAAACTTTCATTGGCAGCTAACAATTAATGAAATTTTCAAGTAGACATCCAAGTGCATTAGAAATGGTTCTTGTTCTAAAAATTATATAATTGTGAATTTTATGTACAGTACTGTTCTTTTGCAAATAAAACCTCAAAAAGAGAAAAGTTAGCTGCATGTTTCATTCATTTTTTTTTTATCAAGATATAGTATGATATTTACCTACCTTAATTAAAATAATGAAAAAATGGGGTTTATAGAGCCAATCATACTGATTTAAAAGCCTGCTCATGGGGCGTCAGTTAATTCATGAATTGTCCAAACTTCACCTATTTCTTGTCTTTTTCCCTTTAGTGAACTATAATACCTTAAATTTGCCAATTTTTCAAAAATTCTTACAAATTATCCCCTCAGGTTTCCTGTCCTAGTGCAGACAGACACATACAAATATATCTTGATCATTTTATTAAATCTTTACTGTTTAGAGATGCAGAATTTCTAACAAATTATTTTCTTTACAAATATATCTTGATCATTTTATTAAATCTTTACTGTTTAGAGATGCAGAATTTCTAACAAAGTATTTTTTTTTCTCCATCACACTTTATTTACTTATTAAAATATTTTATGATTTATTAAATATGTGCATGACACTCATTTGTCTTATCTTTTCCTGGAAAATGAAAAATTTAAAAAGTGTTCACTGAGTGCACAAATGTAAGTGTAAAATTGTAAATGTGTTTGCTCAGTGCACAAATGCCAATGTAAAAGTATGATAAATATTTGCTAAGTGCACAAATATGAGTGTAAAATTATAAATAAACATTGCATTTGCCAAGTCCAGAAATGTGAATGTAAAATTAATTTTAAATATATGTTTGCTGAGTGCATCTAAGTGTAAAATTATTTTTGTTATGAATATAAAAGAGTGATTTTTTTCTTTATAGGCATGCACTCATTTGTCCTACATTTTACAGAAAAGTTATAGCTGTCAAAAATGTTAAAAACTGTGTAAAGTAGAATACTTTGTGAACAATCAATTGAAACACATCCTTAAAGAATTTAATTTACTAACTGCATCATTTGTCTTGAAGAACATTATAAAATCAAAGGGACTTTTTTTTTTTTAGTTCAGTGGAAACTGTTATCTTCCAAATGCTATAGCAAGGTTTTGATAAACATGTTGTTTTTCACAAACTGTTTTGTACAGATTCTTCACATCTATGATATTTTAGGATGTTCAAATAATATTTTTCTACATTCTTCAGATATGCAGGAAGACTTGCAAGATTACACAGGAAGGGTGTTATAGGATCACTAAATTGAATTGTGGGAACATTTAGTGATTTTGATAAATAAATATACACTAATACAGTTAGCACATGCTCCAGATAGCTTTCATAGTAGTGAAGTGAACAATATTACTGGTAATTGTAAATTGTCAGATAATTTTTTTTTCAATTTTACATGAAAAGTTTAAATGAAGAAAACAATTAATTCCAAATCAAAGTCTTATTCAAATGTCTGGTTCATATGGACTTCAAATTTTCTTTGACTTTCAGTTCACAAGAAAATAAGTGTGGCATACCATACATACACACTAAACTATTTTGAATGAAGATAAATAATAAAAATGATGTTTTCATGAAATATTTCAGAAGATCATATTTTATCTTCATCTTTTTTTTAGACTTGAAATCAGACCCCAATCATGAGAAAAGCACATGGCAGGTGTGACTGGTTGACAGAAGATGCTAACTCCTCCATGGCACCTGATCCCACCTAAATATATATATTTAGAGGTCTGTTTAGCTCAGCTCCTAATTTATATTGTTATAATGAATTTTTTGGATAGATTACTGTTCTTTTTTATCTTCATTTTTCAATTTTCCATGAAAGGTTTTTTAAAACAGGAATGGTGGTAATAGAAATTTAATTAACAATGCCATAAGACAGTAATATGTAAAAACAGAATCTGTGATATATTCCTTTGTACTCATTGGATGTGGTACTGTTCTCTGACACAATTTATCCCAGAAAATTAATTACCTGTTTAGGTTTTAAATTGTGGAGTTTTTTGGAGAACTTTGCCAGAATGAAAATGTATTGTCCAATAGGAAAAATAGTGAAATAGCTGAGAAATATTTTGTGCTTCAGGTGCAATCAAAATGAATAATGGAGATTTGCTTCTGCTTTGCTTGGTACTATCAATCACAAAATCTGCTGTGAACACAGACTATAATACTGCCTAGAAAGCTGCATTAAAAAAATTGTGTAAACAAATAAAAATCTTGATTTTTAGGTGCATCATATACCGTGCATTTGCAGTTGTTTTTTTTTTTAAATTAGGTTTTTAAAAATCATTGACTGGACAATTTCAAATTCTCTCGTAAACAGGCAACAGTACTACAGTAGTTAAAAACTAGATTGCAATTAATTTATTTTCCTACCCATTTAAGCCAGTTTATTTGACTTTATGATTAATAAGTCATAAATTGTAAGACAGTGTCAATCTACAATTAATCTCTTAAAACTGATAAACTGTATCTCCTTGTGTAAATAATGGTCCAGTGGCTGGAAATAAGATCAGAACCCCTTTTTTATTGTAGTGATTATCAACTACAATTAAGACTGCCACTTGTTCTCTAGTGAGGCCCTGCCAACTTTTTCAATCCTAGGAAGATAGTGTGGAGCCATAGAAAAGATAAACTGACCACCCCAGCTCTGAAAGAGGGGGAAAAATTGTTACTGTTTACTCATCACAATTTATCACTTTTGCGGAGTCTAAATTCAGAAATGCTGAAAGATACTGTTTCTAATAATAAGACAGGAACGGGGAATTTTACATGTGTCATAAAGCTTGAACTGATTTTTCATCTTGACCCAACACATCGCATCATTTTTAAAAATTCTTGAAGCGGAGTGACGAGAGATTTCCATGTCAGCATGTTCCTGCATAAATATTTCCAATATTTATATGGGGCCCTTACTTCTATACAGAAAAAAAACCTTATAATTAGGTTTTGATTTCTTTATTGAAGATTATAAGATGAAAGTTTTGTTCCACATGAAGAAAATAATATTGCATTTAATTATGAATGGAAAGAAAACAAGATGAACTTTGTTTCTGCAATATCTACACACCTTTGTACTCTCTCAACACATTTATCTCCCATCTTTTGTCTCCGCCATACTGAATCTGTAACAAAATAAATTAACGTTTAAAAAAAAACTTCTTGTCATCATGATACGGAGAGATTTTGGTATCGGGTGACACTACTGTCAGTGCACCTGACTTTGAGGCTAACAATAAAATTCCTGTTTTTAGTCATGGCAAACCTCTCTAAAATTAAGAATGAAGGGGATGGAATGGCTGTGCATTATCTTGATGTTTTAAGCATTGTCAGGTTTTCACCTTAGTAAAAGGAAGGACATCTGTTTTATTTGAAGATGAGACTAACACCTGTGTAAGTCCTTATTGTTCGTTTGATGAAACGGACAAGACGCTGCAGGTGTAACAGTAGAGAGGTCATATCCGTGACACAAAATTATAATATTACATTTAAGGGTATTCATACATTAATTTATTTATAGTTGTAAGAAAACTTCTTATTTTTATCTCCTCTAAAATATTAATCAGATTTGATGAATTATTACTTTGTAGGAGGAAATCTGTTCCAAATTCTCCAGGTGAACTTGATTTCTAAAAATGAGATGTACCTGGTATTGATAATATTTTTGACTGAAGCATTTTAACAGGAAGTTACTTTTTTGCCAATTCCTGTATTTTTGTTCTAAGATTCCTGTTTCTGCAAAACACAAAAAGAAAAAGAAAAACCTTTGAAACTTGTTTGACAGTTCACAGAAATAATGAGATTAAAAGATTAATCCCTGCCAACTTTTTTTTTTATCTAATCCAGGGTTAATCCCACTTGGGCGTATCTTCCCTTCATGCTTTTTACGTGTTTCCACAAATCATGTTGAAGGTTAAAGATACAATAAAAATCTGGTATCTACAATTAATAGATTCCTTCTAGTGACACCTGCTTTACAGCCATCCATTGTAGTAAACACTTTCTTTCAAAGCAGTTGATTGTTGGTTCAAAGTTCAAGGAGATTTTAGTTTAACATTCTCTCTCTCTCCCACTTGCTCTCTTTCTCTCTCTCTCTCTCTCTCATGTACTTTAGTGCTTCAGGTTGAGGTTTTGCAGGATAACTTTGAATGGTTTCCAAATGCGAAGTTTGCACTTGGTTTGCTTTATATCACAGTTATGTTTTGACATAATGGGTTCCAGAGCAAAGAGCTAAGTTTTATGGATCTTTTTTGATCATAAGTTCTCCTTTCTGGATTTAATGATAAATGTATGCACCTTTATGTTACAATACCAGGGAAATGTCGTGGAGTTGTTTGATATGATCACCATATTCCCATTTATCTGCATCATGGCTTAAAGTGGGAATCTTAAAACATGCCAGTTTGCTTGTACCTAGATGCTGTCAAAAATGGCACAATCTTTCACCTTTGTGCATCAATCGTATGAGTTGTATAACTGTGTAAAATGAATAGGTCATTAGCAGTAACTAATTCATAGGCATGTTCCATTCATACCAGTGGTACTTGCTAGTTCAGAAAGTTGACTTGATGACAATTCCTGTCATAATAAGAATTTGCATAATGATGTGTAAAATAAAGTCTCAAATAATCTTTAAATATAAAATAGAATTCCTGGTAAATGTAATAAAGTCATTCAGAAATGAAAAATATTGAATTTCTTTAACAAAAAAGTATGTAGGTAGTTTGTGTATGTGTTTGTATATAAGGATGGGTGAGTGAGGATCTTTGAGAAGTTCATAATTTTGTTCCATTTTATACTTTAATTCAATCCAATGAACAATTTTATTTTATATGTTTTAAATTACATGTAGCTTATTCTGGTAGGGCTGTGATAGTAGCTAATGACAATAACCTTGTTTAAATTAAGGTATTGATGTAAATATAGCTCTGCTGGAAAATTAAAGCTTAATTGAGAAAACAACTTTGTAATCTGTGCAGATGCCAGGTTGCAAAAGTGAGTTCTCAAAGCTAATTACATTTTTGAAGATTCTCTGTATTAATAAATACACTGTTATATGTCCTGTAAAATGGCTCAAAAATACACTATAAATTTTGAAAGGAAAAATTCAGCCTGAAATTCATGAGGAAAGTTTTGGATGTTGTGTTTTTTGTCAAGAGTTTGGACTTAAAAATTGTGACATCATGATATACAATCATTTTTATTTCATTTGTTTTAAAATATTATTATAGTGCAAGCATTCTACTAGAACATAAATGTTCCATTATTATTAATGGTCATATGGAATGTTATTGCCACCAATAACACTTCAAGAAGGCCAGATAAAACTGTTGAAATGGTATTGTCAATTAAGAAATTCCATGGAAACTGAAGTGTTGATTTTGCCAGGTCCTGTTAAAACAAAAAGCAGATAATAAGAACAGTCAGAAAACGACCATTAATAAATGTCACCAGAAGCAGGTCCAACTCTGACCTTGTGACAGAGCATTGATGAATGGGGGGCTGCCAGGGATTGGGAAGATTAGAATTGCAAATAGAAATATCCCCTGCATTGCTCAACATCTGTATCACAGAGAAATTTTAGGACCAAGAGATTTGTAAAAGGATTTTCTGGGTCTCCCCAAAACAACATATAGCCATGTTGGCAAACACTTGTAAGACACTATCCCTAGACCATTTATTTCAGCGCGGAAATAATCAAAAGTTTTCTGTCTCCTTCCATAAATCTGAAATGGATGTATGGTAATCCTGTGTAAATGTTTCGCAGCCACTGTGTACATATTAGAAATGGAATACATACATCCACTCAACTGATAATGACTTTTTATTTAGGCGGGAATTGTTCTTTAAAGTGTGTAAATGAAACGTACCAGGATGAACCTGTAAAAATATTATACTGCAGCGATAAAAGTTTTTTGATGAAATGTGAAGTGGCCTATGAATTTTTATCTACAAAATTAACACACTGAGTCACTTTAGTTGTCTCGTAAATTAGATTATAATAGGTACTTATCAGAGTAAAGCTGGTGATCTGCAGTTTATACTCTACACATAAATTAAATCCATACCTTATAGTTGTCAGTGGTCGCAATGTGAAATTAAAATCTTGATTTCTCCTTTTGTGCTCCTATTGATTTAAAGTGCATGAAGTATCTAAAGTTAATTCAACTTTTTCCTTTAATAATAATTCCCCATTTAGTTGTTGTCTTGATAAAAAAAAGAAGGCCAAATGGCACTTAAATTTAGGAAGGAAGACATAATTTAGTAAATCTGTCATTTTGAAAAGAGCATTGAATTGATTTGAATCTTTTATGTTAAAAAAAAATTTGTCAAAGCTCATCATTTTCAGAAGTTAGTATTTGCTATTTTTGCAATGAATTCTGTAAAAGGTATACATTAATATATGCTGAATCTTGCTTTATTTAGAAGCATAGAATTTGGTACATACATTGTACGTATTCATGGTCCTCTAGGTCTCCACTAAACTTACATGTTAAGTAGCTAATGTATCTTATCCAAGAGGATCTCTTTACATGCAGATGGCACTTATTTGCAATGCAATAGAGTTTACTTATATTCCCCATGAGTTCAAAAGAAGAGTCGTTAAACTATGAAACTCAAAGAATATATAAAGACCAATACCAACATTAATTTCTGGGTATATATGATTTAATTTATTTGGACAAAAAAATGTAGGGTAGGGATTATAAATATGTTGCATTGGTCATAAATCTGCCCTTTTCTTCATTATTAATTAGAATGCCACTTTTTCACTTGGAAGCAAATTTTGCTGCCATCACTGTGTGAATTTTAATTTATCAAGTGTCACTAACTTTAAACATTAACTATGTCAAAATTATATTTTTTTTTTCTCAGAATAAAACTGGAGAGAAAATTTTTAAAAAGTATACCTAAGTTAATTATTTTGCTCATTCTTTCCTATAATCTTGTTAAAGTTGTGGTAAAAGTGTATAAACTGGAGAGCAATTAAAATACTTGAGGTTATGAATCAGCCTCTTGTTGGTTCCTGTAATGAGTGAATTTAGAAAGTTTTTGTTGAGGATATAAGTGGCCCCTCAGTGTAGGACAGGCAGACACTACTACTATAGCTCCCGAGATGTCAAGTGGGTCTTCAGTTGACTTAGGTTCACTTCATCTCATTGTGTCTACCTCCCTACTTGAAGCAGAAGAAAAGAGATCTAAATCACTTGTACCAGTATGTTTGTAATGTATCAGGATGGGCTGGTTTAAATTTTAGATGTATACACCAACTGCATGAGGAGGGGGAGGAGAGGCCAGTCTTGTTCTCCCTGCCTGGTAAAAATTCCTCCTCTCTGTGTGGCTTTCAGACTTTTTTCTTTGTTTGATTTCAATTTTTGATGTAGTCTTTCCTTTGGTACTTCATTTGCTAAGTACTGTGTAGAATTATGAAGAAAAGCAGTAAAAATAGTACTTAGTTTATTTCTAATGTATTTTATAAAATTTCTTGCCCAGTTTAATACTAAAGTCCTTTATTACTCTATGTAGATACATGTACCAGTATCTGTGAAAGCTTCTCAAGGACAAGAACCTGAGTATAATTTCCAGCCTTGCTTGGTCTCAGAGTTCCTTTATTAGCAATAGCAGGTGTTTTATGGTATATTTCTGCCACATCGTAGTGGCTTTGTAGTAAATATGTGACATGGCGGGTTCAGACGTTCAACATCAGCTTTAAAGCCTAAATACCAAGATTAGAACCATATGCCGGCTAATGCTTTTGATGGTGTTCATCTGCTAATTGCAAATTTTTTATTTCAAATAATTTGGCTCTCATATACAGCAGCAGCAAGCCATACAGGTGGGGGTAGGCTGCACCACAAGAAGTGTAACACCACTGAATAACACTTTTCTTTTTTA